TGCCGTCGCACGGACGCCCTGTCAAGTGTGACGCCGATCTGAAGACGCACACATGCAGAGCACACGCACTGTGCAGCCGTCGGTAGAATCTCGGGCTCCTCCGTCGCTCTCTCTGGGTAACGTGCGTTCTGACAACAGGAGAGATCGATGGAGCAGCCAGCTGGGCTTTTTATAGACGCCGTTGTTACGACCCACGGCCCTGCCCAGCCTGTGTCTTGGCGTGCCTCACTGCCTCCTCATGCAGACGGAGATGTTGTGCAGAGGAAGAGAAGTCAGTGGTGAAGATCGTACAAAAGCAAAAAACTATGACCTGTTGTGGATTTTTCTCTTGAATTTTTTTTTTACCAGTTATAATTATTATAACTATGATCCTCAATGCATGAGACAAGGATGGAGACGGAGGTGCAGGTGATGTTCACGAGAGATTAGACTGGAACTGAGCAGATGACATGACATGATGACATCACGTCTAAAATTAAAAGCACTGACTTCACGCTAACACTAACAGTCTCAGTATAGAGACACTTCAGACGCTATATATGAAAATATATACATCAGAATGTATATATATGTGTGTGTGTGTGTGTGTGTTGTATATATTGAGGGATGTTGGTTCAAACAATATGTTCCTCATAATGAATTGTGATTAATCATCGTCAGAATCCTGCGACAGCTGACCGTGATTGTTAGGAACAACGGTAACAAATAGAAGGACGGACACGTGCCGTCATTTAGAAGTCCTCCTTCACTCTGCTCATTTTTCATTTCCTGTTTTTATTTTGTCGACTGTATGGAGGAGGGTTCAAGCCCCCCTGGAGGACGCTCTCCGTCCTCTGCTTCTGTCACTCCTTCTGGTCTGTGGACTGCAGACATGTTCCCAGCTTCTGGACGACCAGTTTTATAACCTCAAAGCAGGTTATCTGCAGGTTAATTACTGCTGAAGCTGCTCACTGAGATAAAGCCGGTAGAGCACAAACACGGGCGTGAGTGTGTGTGTGAGTGTGTGTGTGTGTAATTGCACAGGCAGAATTGTCACCCAGTGAAAAGGTGCACGGCCGTAGAAATAATAATGTGACCGTTTCCTCCGTCTGTAGGACTTATATTTCTGTGCATGGTTAGTAGAGTTTCTGATCCTCGTTCTGACTTTATCTTAGTGTCGTCTGGAACTTCACTCTCTTCATTCCATTTCATCAAGTGCTGGAAACAAAAGGCAGCTTTTCCTGTGAAGCCCAGCCTGGCTCAGCAGACTGTGAGCTCACGGTGATATAAAACTGTAGCCACAGGCAGAGGCTGCGTCTGGATGTGCTGGCACAGGGTGTATCTTCAACATAATGCAGGCAGACGTTGATCTGCGACGGCACCATCTTTGTAAACGTTGATCACAGAAGACGTTCTTCCACCAAGAATTCTCTTTCAAATGTAGCTCCGACTGTTCTCAGTGAGGGAGAAGAAAAGACGTATTTGTTTCTTTCCAAACGTGTTGATGATTCTGTTCTGATTATTTACTCTAAGGCTGCTGCTCTTTAACTTTAAAATGCTGAATCATGCTAATGTTTTTATTTTAGCCTGAAATGCTGACTAAGACATTTTAAGAGTATTGAAGCTCTGGCAACAAACATTCACAGAAGGAAGTGAGTGATTTACCAAATACATAATTCATTATTACATTTAAACTGTAAAACTGTGACAAAACTCTTAGGTCGAATGTGATGTCGATGATTTACTGACGTTCACCAGGAAGGAGAGGAGATTTAACCCCTTGTTGCCTGATTTATTTATTTTTTTGAGAAAACACATCATGGACTGTGTGTCATTGACGTGGAAGAACAACAAAAACAACAACAGAAAAATCTGGAAATAACGCACCAATGTGTAGATATATATTTACACTCTGTGTATATACATATATACATATATATATATAGTCAGTAATTTGGTGTAAAGTAATCAAAATCAAATAAACACTTGATTTATGGATAAAAACCTGCCGACTGTTCTGTAGCTGCACAGTTTATATAAACACACACCTGTGGTTCTGTCCACACACACTGTGAGATGTTCATGCTGAGGCTAAATTACCCAGCTGTGTCCTCACTGCTCACCAGCACACACACACACACACACACACACACACACACACACACACACAGACACAGAGATTAGTTGTGATTCACGCTGACTTTGAAGGAGGATTTTGAGGAGACGATGACGTCGTGTTAGACGATGAGTCCAGTCTCACCTCAGACCCACTGAAACCACACACACACAGAATGGTGTGTGTGTGTGTGTGTGTGTAAAAGGTCAGACCTTTGATGAACGACACAGTCCAGACATTACAACCTCTGACTGGAGAAATACATGGTCACATGACCTGTAAGGTCAGGGGTCAGGGGTCAGTGCGGCAGACCAACCGTTGGAGTGTTGCTCCTCCAGGTCGCTGCCCGTCAGGGTTGTTGTTGACGTTGTTGTGATTTACCATATGATACACGGACATGATATTCTCAGAGAACTGCTCCGTTCTGATTGGTGGAATTGAGATGTTTTCTTGTAGAGATTCAGGTTCAGGTAATTCAGTAGAAATACATCATTATCCAATCAAAGACCTCCAGCAGCTTCAGTCTCAGCTGTCAATCATCAACCCCCCCTTGACCTTTGGTCCTTTTCAATTATAACTAACAACACACCCTGTTGTTGCTGCTTCGCTGCAAATGTGTGACATGTTTCTCACAGGTTAGACTTTGGCCCGAGCTGTTGGAAAGGTGTGAAAGAGCAGCCGAGAGAGAGTGACAGAAAACTGTGTAGGAACACGGAGATGGAGTCTGGACTGGACTGGACTGGACTGGGCTGGACTGGACTGGACTGGGCTGGACTGGGCTGGGCTGGACTGGGCTGGGCTGGACTGGGCTGGACTGGGCTGGGCTGGACTGGGCTGGACTGGACTGGGCTGGACTGGACTGGGCTGGACTGGGCTGTACTGGGCTGGACTGGACTGGACTGGACTGGACTGGGCTGGACTGGACTGGGCTGGACTGGGCTGTACTGGGCTGGACTGGACTGGACTGGACTGGGCTGGGCTGGACTGGACTGGGCTGGGCTGGGCTGGACTGGGCTGGACTGGGTTGGGCTGGGCTGGGCTGGACTGGGCTGGGCTGGACTGGGCTGGGCTGGGCTGGACTGGGCTGGGCTGGACTGGGCTGGACTGGGCTGGGCTGGGCTGGACTGGGCTGGACTGGGCTGGGCTGGACTGGGCTGGGCTGGGCTGGGCTGGTCTCGGCTGGACTGGACTGGACTGGGCTGGACTAAATAAATTTACTGTCTCAACTGAAATGCAACTTTAATATAAATATAAAATTTTCTCATGTGGGGCTGGACTGGACTGGGCTGGGCTGGGAAATATAAAATTTTCTCATGTAACCAGTGTTTGATTTGGGCCACATGTCCTTTTTGTTGGGCAATAAACAAATTGTGCTTCTCCTCCAGATCAAACTGGTTCCTGGTTTCATAACTGTTCTCGTTTCCCCAACATGTGTCATGAATATTTATTAGCTCCACAGTGAATTTTTTCTGAATACATTAAATGAAAAATATATTTTCCATCATGGGAATATACAGTGATGAGTTTCTTTTTTTAATCGCACAGACTTAATCCTGTTTGTTCCTGTTGGAGGCGCTCCTACACAACAGTTTAAATTATCATGAAAATAAATCTGTAGGTTTGTTAATCTGTGGGATTACAGAGACATTTTCATGTTTGTTAATTGGACGATTGATGGAGAGATCTTTACAGTGAGTCCAAACCACGGATGTTGAACGTCTAGTTCAGACCAGTGGTTCCCAACCTGTTCTGGCTTTGACGTCACGTCTTCTGTCAACACTCCAGGCATTTTCTTTCTAAAATTTATTGTATTTTTCCTCAACCAGTCAATTACGGGACAATCTAAATTCCAGACGACCCCACGTGGTTGTGAAAACACTGGTTTAGATGATCTGTCTTAGATTTTCATCCCATCCCATAATCCCCTGTAAACATGTAGCCTGAGGCCAAATGTTCAGAGTCACTTTAGGTCATGTGACGTAGGCAGACGTGTTTTCCTGTTGGTTTAGCTCTTGGTGAACCACACTCTTCCTGCCCTTGTCCCCCTGACTGAGAGGCAACTCTCGTGCTCCTACACATTTGCCCTTTCACGTACAGCAGTGCTCACTGTGTTAGGTGATTGTAGGAGGGAAGTCATTTACAGAACATCAGTCACTTGTGTTTTATTTCTATAGAGTCAGGTACCACAGTTGGTCTGAACGCTGTAGCTGATGCAGCGATGATCCAGCACTGCAGCGGAGCGTACCGTTGGTTGTTACTGTTTTCTCTTTTTATGCTTGCGTGGATGTTTTGGCCGTTAACTTGTCTTCCCTGAGTCAGAAGGAGGGCTGTGAGCCAGCAGTCATCAACCAGTGCAGTCCACTTTAGAGATTCAGCGTTCCCTAATGGCCACGTTTGACATTGCACCACCAGACCAACAGGCCACGTTTCTGTGCCACTGCATCGTATTGAACCACCTCCTTCCATATAATGAGTACATGTTTGTGTTCCTCCTTCCATATAATGAGTACATGTTTACACTGTTTATGAAATGAGCCAATCAGGACACACTAAAGGAGCCACTGGGATTGGTTTAAATGAATCTCAGTGACTTTGGATTTTTTAACTGTTTTTTTTGTGTTTTTCTCTGATGAAATATTTGCCAATAGGTGGCAGTAATGTAATTTACTAGGGCAGGTAGAGCCCAAAGAAAATGTGAAGCTAAGGGTTAGCAGAGTTATCTTCTATCTAACCGTGATATCAATGTGTAAATGTGATGCTAACACGCTACATGCTAACTCACCACTACCATCCCACTACGGTAATTCTTTGTGCGTTAGCATGATGCTAAAACACTGCTAGCAGTGCTAGATGCTATCATTTCCCAAATCAGTAACAAGCCTTATTTTTTCTTTTATATATAATTTCATATTTTCTGTTCATGTTTTTAAGTTGTTGTTACTTGTTACCTGATGTATGTGAAACTGAACAGACGCTCCGTGACGGTGCTGTTAAACCTTCTAGACCTTTCCTTGACTCTGATGTCATCAGACTGGGCCGACCTGGAGTGGACTGCTACTGTCAGCATGAGAGTGGAGCAGCTGTTCTTCAACTGCAGTTTCTCATCAACGAGGTATACAACAACCACTGTTACAACAACCCCTGTTACAACCACCGCTGTTACAACAACCACTGTTACAACCACCGCTGTTACAACAACCACTGTTACAACCACCGCTGTTACAACAACCACTGTTACAACAACCCCTGTTACAACCACCGCTGTTACAACAACCACTGTTACAACAGCGGCTGTTACAACAGCTGCTGTTACAACAGCCGCTGTTACAACCACTTCAACTTCAAAAATGTCAACAACCTTCTTCTCCACAAGCCAAATATGCTAACAAAAATGTCAACAACCTTCTTCTCCACGAGCTAAATAAACACTAACTCAGTTATGCTAAATGTCCCTGACAGAATGTATTGATGCATTAGTCACCTACAGGTGGAAACAGGAACAGAATGAGGGCGAAGCTGTAGAGCTGCATGTTTCATCTGGACTAAAGGGGGCGACACCTGCTGGAGTCTTCATTTTCCTTGTTTTTCTTTAATGGATTTTTCTTTTGTCTCTGACAACTGCCATTTTACCTGTCACATCCTGATGTCAAGGCAATTAAACCCTAATGGAGCAGCAGAGCGAGCCCTCGACCCGATCGCCTCTCACACCGTCTCATCTCCCTCATCTTGAATGATTTCTTCATTAGCCGCCTCACTCCCTCCCCCTCTCTCTCCTCCCCCTCTTCCTTCCACCTCCACTCTATCTTTTCTTTTCGGATTCAAGGCCAACGTGGGTGACAGCAAGAAAATACACCAGCATATGAACGAAGAGTCCATTTAGTCAGTGCTTTCACTCCAGTGCTGTACAGGAGTTCTGCTGTCCTCCACCTTTGTGTCTTTGTATATCTCTGTATACCTTTTTCAACACACAGAAAAAGGATTTCATCTCTTTTGGAACATTTTATTTTTTTAGGCAGCAGCACTGAAAGAGGTTTATATTATACATAAGAGACTCTGTGAGTCAGGTGACGCTGTAGGGCCGTAGGTCAATATCATTCATTATTCCGAGGACCACTAGAGGTGCTGCTTTCCAAAGGTACTGCAGACTGAAATATTCTAGAGGAGAGTTTCTAAAGTTTAAAAATAAAACTCTCCTGAACCTGAACCTGTTGTGATTAGTCAGAACTTAAAGTTCTAGAAGCAAACTCTCTCTGGGAACTGGATTGTTATCGTCACGTGTGTCCGTACGATGACGGTATCAGCAGATATCGGACGTGAACAAGTTGTGTTTTCCTTTCGTCCCTACATTTTCTGTCCTCAGCTAACGTTGTACATCATGGAGCCAGGTGACAGATTTGAAACACGTTTTCTTTCCGTTGTCTTTCAGGGTGCGTTGGTCACAGCCTGTGCAGACGACACGTTACACCTGTGGAACCTGCGTCAGAGACGGCCGGCTGTTCTGCATTCTCTCAAATTCAACAGAGAAAGGTCAGAATTCTCTTTAAGTTTTCCTAATTGCGCCTCCTGTGGCAGCCCGTGTGGATTGCAAAGACTCACTCTGTGAGTTCCCCAGCTGTGGGACTAGTACTAATATCTAACCCAAGCCCAAACCTCAACAAGTGGTTTTCTGAAGTAAAGTTGAACCATTAAAACTTGTCATAATCAGGGCCGTGTTATGGATGTCTGCATTTGGACCGAGTCGATTAAATAGCTTCTCAGTGCTTGTATTGCAGATGATTTTCTACTTTTTATGAAAACATGTCGGCTCAGGGTCAACACGAATTTTTGATTTTGATGAATGTGAATCACAGCGACCTCAGAATATTTGCCGTTCAGTCAAGGACTTCATCAGAGTCACAATAAATGTTTCGTTTTGACTAAAAACTTTCATTTCTAAAGCGCTTTGACCTTCTCCATGACACGGCAGATTTATTATCCCTGCACTGACACTAGTGCATCATAAAAATCAACCCAAGGGAATGGAATTCAGCAGAGACACAAGTGAGAAAGAGAGAAAAGTCTGTGTGCTGTCTGTAGGTGTGTTTCTCCTGAGACATAATCAAATTTTCACAGCCTGAAAAAGTGCATTATTTGTTGGTGCTTTTAGTGAGAAAGCAGAGAGAGACTGAGCCTTAATAGATTCCATCGTGAGAAAACTTTTATTTCACGTAGAATGGATTTGTTTGATGTGAAGTCGGAGTACAACAGTGTCCTCTCACAGATAACAGCCTGAGTGACGAAGTTTAAAGAACAGATATAATGGAGCAGAAAAATGAGGAGAGCACCAATAAAAATACACTCCCCTCAGACCTGGACCACAGGAAGAGAAAACCAGGTTTCTGTAAATGTGTCATTCTGTGCGGCTCAGACCTGGAGGTGTGTACAACACAGAGAAATACCACAAAAAGTACATGTATTGACATATAATGATGTTCAGATTTTAATTAACAAAAAAATATATTTACTGGGTTTGAAACATGGGCCTGTTTAGCTGAACATAATGCTGTTATACAGAACTCGCAGGACTTGAAGAAAGAGATCATTTATTGATGTTTTTACTCATGTTTTAAAAATAACCTGTTAAACGTTGGCGACACCTGCGTTGTGTATTTTTAAAAAAATCACATATCTTCAGAATGATGTCACTGGTCCTGGAACTTTTCGACTCGTCCTCCTACGCTGTGACTTTACCTACGTTTGGACATAGAACAGCGATGAATCATGTTCTGGGATAAAGAAAGATGATAGACGTGCTGCAGTGAGTCATCTGTCGGAGTGAAGTTTTCTATTTAGCTCCGTGTCTCAGTTGAACCTCGCACAATTAGCAGCTTAACACCTCCTCAGTCCCACAAGAATAAGGTCTGAATCACTGGATTTGCTGGTGAAGGTTGTTTGTTGATAGCTGTCAGTCAACATCTTGTGCGAGCCAGCCCTCCTCGCCTGTCGTGTCCAGACATTCAGCTCAGGCAGAAAGTACATCACAGTGAAATGGGGGCCGTTGTCACTTGGTAATTTTCAAACACAATGAAAAGAGACATTTGACCCGACGACGAGTCCAACGTTTGAAGTTAATGTAACGTGGCTGTTGTGACATGTTGCTGTTTGTGTCACGTCTCAGGGAGTAGTTTAATTACCTCTGTGTACTTCAGGTATATTTGATCAGATATTTGCTGGTGCCGCAGTCGTCGCTCAATCTTCAGGCCAAACTAACGTCACTTCCTGTCTACTTACATTGTGATTTCTTAGTGTAATCTGTAGTGACAGGTCCAACAGTCTGGGGTCAGTGGTTGGTGTCAGTATCATCACCGTTTGTTCCCCTGCAGAACTGAACAGAACTCTATCAGGGTTTCATGTCCAGACAAAAACATTTCTAAATAAAACAAAAACCTTCCCTACCAATCACTGACCAGTACTCCACTCCATCACTGACCAGTACTCCACCCCGTCACTGACCAGTACTCCACCCCGTCACTGACCAGTACTCCACCCCGTCACTGACCAGTACTCCACCCCGTCACTGACCAGTACTCCACCCCATCACTGACCAGTACTCCACCCCATCACTGACCAGTACTCCACCCCGTCACTGACCAGTACTCCACTCCGTCACTGACCAGTACTCCCCTCCATCACTGACCAGTACTCCACCCCGTCACTGACCAGTACTCCGCTCCATCACTGACCAGTACTCCTCTCCATCACTGACCAGTACTCCACCCCGTCACTGACCAGTACTCCACCCCGTCACTGACCAGTACTCCACTCCGTCACTGACCAGTACTCCACTCCGTCACTGACCAGTACTCCACCCCATCACTGACCAGTACTCCACCCCGTCACTGACCAGTACTCCACCCCGTCACTGACCAGTACTCCACTCCGTCACTGACCAGTACTCCACTCCGTCACTGACCAGTACTCCACCCCATCACTGACCAGTACTCCACCCCGTCACTGACCAGTACTCCACCCCATCACTGACCATCATTAAATCATTTTTATTCTGACACATTTCTCTTTTGTCTCTGGTTTTCTAGGATCACTTTCTGCCACCTTCCCTTTCAGAGTAAATGGCTGTACGTGGGAACAGAGCGTGGAAACACACACATCGTCAACATCGAGTCCTTCATTTTGTCTGGATACGTGATCATGTGGAACAAGGCCATCGAACTGTGAGTAGCTGATGTTGGTCCACAGCAGTGACCCCTGATTGGTCCTTTATGACCAATGATGATGTTGATGTTGGTGCAGAAAAGAAAAACAAACAAAGGAATGAATGGTGGACGAGTAACAGAGTGGGTTTCTGTCCTCGTCAAATAAATACGATCTGAAAAGGTCTTTCAAACACCAGGTTGTAAAAACTCTGTGATGGTGAAACTTTTTCAATATGGAAACAAACTTCAGTTTTGCGTAGAGTTCAGTTCAGTTCAGCTGATGGTTGAAGAAAGATTGCCAGTTTGAATTCCTGGCAGACTGTGGTGTGTGCACCAACCCCCCCCCGGCCCCCCCACTCCTTCTGTGTGTCCGGTTCTTATGGTCTGGGTGTTTAACCAGCAGGTTAAATATAGAGACTAATTTCCCCTGTGGTTCCTGTAGTGGGCGTCACAGAATTCATATCCTTGGAGTGCTGATCCTCAGGAGATGAATGGATGGATGAATGGGCAGGTGAATGGCATTATGGGTGAGTGGGAGTGGAGTCGGTCACATGTTCAGTGCATCATATTATGGTCACCAGTTACCTTCAGTTTTGATTCTTGACTAGAAAAGCTGTCAGTGTTTTGATTATTACGATGTGATTATATGACAACAAAGAGTTAAAAAAGTAATCGAAAAAACAGTAAAACTACAGTATCAGAGTACAGTCTCAGAGTACAGTGTCAGAGTACAGTGTCAGAGTACAGTATCAGAGTACAGTCTCAGAGTACAGTCTCAGAGTACAGTGTCAGAGTACAGTGTCAGAGTACAGTCTCAGAGTACAGTGTCAGAGTACAGTCTCAGAGTACAGTCTCAGAGTACAGTGTCAGAGTACAGTCTCAGAGTACAGTGTCAGAGTACAGTCTCAGAGTACAGTGTCAGAGTACAGTGTCAGAGTACAGTCTCAGAGTACAGTATCAGAGTACAGTATCAGAGTACGTGTCTAAGGTGAATACGAGCCGTCGTGCTGATGTTGGTTGTTTTTGTTGCTGATCCTGTGGAACTTGTCAACCTTGTCAACTATGTTGCACAGTTTAAGTCAGCATCAATTATACAAATGGCCCAGTTTTTGTTTGTTTTTTTCCCAGCCACCTACACAGTGTTGGTGTGGCGTTATCCTGTCAGTCCTCTGCCTCAGTGTCAGTCACGCGTCACTTTCCTCCCCAGGCGTCTTGTTTCCTTGTCACAGCCCAAACTGCAGTGAGCAGTCGGCACCATGTGGTTGATGAGTGATGAGTGGGAGCTCTGTCTGACAGTCCAGCACTGGTCCACTGGAGGAGACGGAGCTCTGTCTGACAGTCCTGCGCTGGTCCACTGGAGGAGACGGAGCTCTGTCTGACAGTCCTGCACTGGTCCACTGGTGGAGACGGAGCTCTGTCTGACAGTCCTGCACTGGTCCACTGGTGGAGACGGAGCTCTGTCTGACAGTCCTGCACTGGTCCACTGGAGGAGACGGAGCTCTGTCTGACAGTCCTGCACTGGTCCACTGGAGGAGACGGAGCTCTGTTTAACAGTCCTGCACTGGTCCACTGGAGGAGACGGAGCTCTGTCTGACAGTCCTGCACTGGTCCACTGGTGGAGACGGAGCTCTGTCTGACAGTCCTGCGCTGGTCCACTGGAGGAGACGGAGCTCTGTCTGACAGTCCTGCACTGGTCCACTGGTGGAGACGGAGCTCTGTCTGACAGTCCTGCACTGGTCCACTGGTGGAGACGGAGCTCTGTCTGACAGTCCTGCGCTGGTCCACTGGAGGAGACGGAGCTCTGACATCAAAATGATTGTTTCTGTAGTGATTGGTCACTGCTGACAGAGTCAGTTTTAATATATGACACAATATAGTATAATAAAATACAATATGATAGTATTTTATTATACTATATTGTGTCATGTAGTATTGAATGGTACAGTATCATATTGTTTTGAATCATTCATAAATAATTGTAACTAAATTTATCAGTTTTTTTAAATTTATTCTCAGCAGAAGCTTTAATATAAGACACAAACAACAGCCGGACGTGAAACTGATTTCAAAGTTTTTTTCATCTTGTTAGATAAGAGTTTGGTTCTATTTTGAATGAAGTATTTGAGAATGATTTTTACAGAGATGAGTGAACCACCTGAGAACATTCAGTTTATACCCAGATGGTGCTCTAATATTATCTGCTCCGTTACATAAGTGTGAATATTCTGGGTGTCTGTGTTTGGGGTTCTATCTTCATCATCGTCATCATCGTGTCGGTGTTTAGAAGCTCAGACCTTGATATGGAGATAATGTGGAACCATCTCCACCACTGACATGAATGGAGCTGCAGTAACAGTTGTTGGTCTGTTGACCTGTTGCCCTGTTGACCTGTTGACCTGTTGACCTGTTGACCTGTTGGTCTGTCCGTCTGTCTCTCGTCTGTTGGTGTACAGACGTGTACTGTCTCCACGTCTTCACTCCAGAGTGGAGTTCATGAGGAGTTGAACAAACAGGGTTATTTTTACTCCTCGGGAGCCTCAGAGTGAGGGGGGTGGGGGGGTGGAGGGGGGGGGGTTGTCTTTTCCAAACATGAATAGAGATAAGTGGGGACTTGGTTTTATTTGGTTTGTTTTTTTAAGTAGAGCAGTATGAGCAGAGGAGACCTCCCCTCCTTCCTCCCCTCCTTCCTCCCCTCCTTCCTCCCCTCCTTCCTCACCTCGTTCCTCACCTCCTTCCTCCCCTCCTTTTTCACCTCCTTCCTCACCTCCTTCCTCACCTCATTCCTCCCCTCGTTCCTCCCCTCCTTCCTCACCTCCTTCCTCCCCTCCTTCCTCCCCTCCTTCCTCCCCTCCTTCCTCCCCTCCTTCCTCACCTCGTTCCTCACCTCCTTCCTCCCCTCGTTCCTCCCCTCGTTCCTCCCCCCCTTCCTCACCTCCTTCCTCACCTTCTTCCTCTCTTCCAGACTGTCTGTTCTGACATGTCGGTCCCAGACAGACGTGTAATTATAGGAAACACCAAACAGACGTGACGCAGACCTACTTGAGATGATTGTCATTGGGTGAAAACACTGACCCCGGGACCTTTGTTTTCAAACACGAGCGTCAGCTTCTCATTGAAATTCAAAGAGTTTCACTTCATATTTAATGCACAATTACATCTGCAGGAGATTCATTCCAAAATGAGAAATAAAAACCAGACGGGAGTGGATTATGGTAAACACGGCAGCCTCACACACACACACACACACTCGGCTGCAGTTCATAGAACCCACTGATGAACGGTGATGATTAGGTTTGTGCTTGATGTTCCGTCTGCTGTAATCAACATTGACATGTTTGGCAATTCCCACAACGAGCATTTTTACTTTTGTTTTCCAACTCAAACTGCTCAACAAACCAATGCAAAAAAACAACAATGTGTTTTATGACCATTTTGTTTTGATGACATAATGGTTTTGTTGTAAACAATAGGATGAGGTGTTTATATTTATATATTTTAAACAATTCCAATCAAAACATTTTATTCCATGAAATAAAGAGGCGACAAAAACCTAAAAAACTCCAAACTAACAACTGGGTTTTTCAGGCACTTGTTAACAATTTAGACTTGTACATCTGGTCTTTCAGAGTTTGTTTTCCCTGTTAAAGACGGAGCTGTCAGTGTGTGGCAGTGGCACAAAGAACAGCCTGGCAGGGCGGCCATTTTTCAATTGACAGACTTAAATTGAGTTGGGACTGGAAATCAACAGGTCCTCAAAGAAGTCAGCCACCAAGTGGGAAGTCAATCGAATGACTGATTGTCAAGAAAGAACGAAAAGAAAAATAAATGAGAGTGGAGCAGAGAGAAGAAGAAGAAGGAGGGGAAAAAGAAAAAGAAGAAGAAGGAGAGGAAGAAGAAGGAGAAGAAGACGGGAAAAAAAGGAAAAAAAAAAGGAGAAGAATAAGGAGACAGGGAGAGACATTTTACAGACGTACATTTGACCTCACAGCTTTTCACAGTGTATTGATGTAAATTCCATTCATTTCTATATAAAACACTTTTAATTGACATAACGTTTCTAGACGAGACTCAAAGTCAGACTGAGATTCCAACAAGAAGAATTTTTCTTATTCGCAGGTCATGGGTCTTCCAACAGGACAACGATCCAAAACACACAGCCAAAAACACCCAAGAATGGCTGAGAGAAAAGCGTTGGACTATTCTAAAGTGGCCTTCCATGAGCCCAGATCTGAATCCCATTGAACATCTGTGGAAGGAGCTGAAACATGCCATTTGGAGAAGACACCCATCAAACCTGAGACAACTGGAGCAGTTTGCTCATGAGGAGTGGGCCAAAATACCTGTTGACAGCTGCAGAATGCTCATTGACAAATACAGAAATCGTTTAATTGCAGTGATTGCCTCAAAAGGTTGTGCAACAAAATATTAAGTTATGGGTACCATCAATTTTGTCCAGCCCTATTTCATTAGTTTGGTTTTTTAAATAATTATGTTAATCAACAATTCAAAAGTGATGGCTGATTTTGATTGTTTAATTTTCAATAAATTTTTATTTATTGTTACTTTTGTAAGTTTCAAGTGATTTCAGTGAGAATTGTGGGTTTTCCCTTCTTTAACTGAGGGGTACCAACAATTTTGTCCACGTGTGTATATATATGTATATATATATTCCTTCCTTTCATTTCACATTTCACTTTTTCTTTCAGGCTCTGAGGCAATGAAAAACCCGTTCCTATTGCGCTCAGGGTCTGTTTCTGAGCCGTGAGGTTTCCACATATTCAGTGTGATTTTCAGGATGTGAGGCAGCGGTGGCTGACACACCACCTTTGGTTTGTCAGGGCCGAGCTGCAGTTTGGTTGGTGCAGAGAGTGACGGCAAGTGACGGTTTCTGTAAAAGGAGAGGTCGTTAGGGAGCACATTGATTTTTGTGTTTAATAGATTTTTTTTTTCCTGCCCGTGGGTTAAACCAGACTTGACAGGATGTGAAGACGTTATGACAGGACAGCGGTTCAAATCTTCCTCAGGTTTGAACCTTGGCATCGATCTGTTCTCTGTTTCCAAATAGAATTTCTGAGCTTTTTGTTTTGACTTTATTCCACATATATTTATTTTTCTTCGGTTGCAGACGTGTTATATGTTTGAGTGACAGGACTTCCTGCAGAAACAGCATTAATGAGTCAGTGGAAAGTTATGAAATAAAAGTCGATCTGCTCATTAAGGCTGATGATAATTTAAAACTCGTAGCCCCAGGAAAACCATTAAAGGGAGAGATTGGAGCCGAGGAACTTTGCAATCAGACCAAACTGGGTCTTAATAAAGTAATAAAGAGGAAGGAGAAGGTCGAGGAAAAATATATGGGGCGCCACTGGCAAAAAAGTACATTACATTACAGAAATGAGCGCCGTTACATAAATTGCTTCACTGTGGGCAGATATCTTTCATCACTTCATTATTTCTGGTTTCTTGTCACACGCTGAAGCTGCTCATAGGGTTTGAGAGTGGAACCGTCGTACAATGGGACCTCCGAGGCAAGAAGGCCGACTTCAGAATCTACTATGATGAGGTGAGTGCCGCTGTGTTTCCATAAAGACCTCCTGGTTTTATTGGTGCCGTGTCAGCCCGGCATTAAAAATGTCTTCCTGAGAAATTCAGCCTGTAACTGGGAAAATAATATTTATTAAGGTTCACATTTTAGTGTCGGCTGGAGGAGCAGCGGGAAGTATAAAATATCAGAATGTGGTAAAGTTGAGTTTTTTATTTTTCATTTCTACATCACCAGCCCTGTTTTTGATTCAGAGCTAGACGCCAAGGACCAATCATTTTAGCTGACGTCAGTCTTTTTCACCGTGCCAGGACTGTGAGATGAATAGATATCTTTAATAAATATAAGTACCTCCAGCTAGATTTTGTGTAGAAATAATTCCGTCTCCTGGTGACATCAGGTTTTATTCTCTCATCTCTGGCCTTAATTTTTTCCACCACTGGTTCCTCACAACAAAGGTGAATGTTATAACTGACAGTTATTAAAGGATAGTTCCTGTGTTATACCCTGTGTGAGGTGGTGGAGCAGTGGTTAGTGCTATTGCCTTACAGTAGCAACATCACCTGTGTTTCTGTTAGATCTCGTTCTATATATAAACATATAGATATAGATATAACAGATCAGTGTGCCTCAGTTCTGAGCCCAGATTACGCAGGTTTCCTTCTTTTTAACAAGGTGTCTGGTTGTCATCAACTGCTGTATTTCGCCGCCTGTTTTCCGACAACCAATTACTGCTGTTTGAAGAAGTAAAAGTAATTGGTGACCCAGACACGGCGTGACAGCTCGCACACGGCACTGTCAAGTGAAACAGGTTGAAGAAAAGAATCTCTGGTGCGACGAGGCGCCGCGAGCGTCGGAGATTAACCACCAGAGTCTGGTTTTGTTTTTCTGACCTTTGTTGAAAGACTCCACAATTAAAGACAAGTGAAGAGTCGTAGTATTTTATATTACTGTAAAGAAGGCACAGATCTAAAGGTGAGGAATGAAAGGCTGTCATCTAGTCATGTGACCAAAACACTGGTTCACGGTCCGCCCAAAGCCCGTATGTACAGTCACATATAAATGAATCTGAAAGTATTTACTTTAGTTAAAAAAACTGAATATATTTATACGTACAGTTTCTTATTCTGTTTGTCAGAGTGAAGTTTGTCAGTTTACTTCCCTAATGAGTTTCTTTTGATCACTTTGTTGTTAAATAGTTGTGATTTTTATTCGGGTCTCCGGCGCCCCCAGGTGTTGGTCAGCAGCCAGCGCTGCTCTACGTGTGTGTCTCAGTTCAAGGGACGTTAGTTGATGACGTCTGCTGCAGCACGAGTCAAAATGGTCTTAGATTAGTTTTGTTTTCCGTCGGTGTATCGCCCGTTGACCGTGTGTTTCTCTGCTCCAGGCCATTCACTCCGTCAGCTGGCATCACGAAGGGAAACAGTTCATGTGCAGTCACTCCGACGGCAGCTTAACACTGTGGAATCTCCGAAATACAACAAAGCCGTTCCAGGTCACCTTCCCTCATGGTGAGTGACACGCCCACATGACCCTATATATATATGTAAAGATATATTTATATATGTATGTTTACATTATTTATATCCTGGTGCTTGTGTTTATGTCATTTATAATCATTTCATAGAATTTCTTTCTGTTTCCGTAGGTAAGATACAGAAGGACGCGAGGAAGGAGTCGTGTAAACCCATACTGAAGGTGGAATACAAGACCTCGAGGAACAGGTCTGATACTGGGGCTAATTAAGGCTTTACTTAGTTAACGAGTTAAGTGTTCTGTAGTTTGGTTGGTCCAAACCTCCCAGATCACCTGGACTGTGACTGAAGGCCTCACAGCTGGAGATAATCACCAGCCTCCACCACAGACACTCAGTTATTCTATAATTACAGTCTGTAAAACTGTGTCAAATTACCCATAATTACACTGTGCTTTTAGACCACTCACTGGTTGAATTAGGCTTTATTTTTTACACCAATAAGCCATTATAGTGGAGACAGTGACACATTTTAAAGCTTTGCTTTTGTCTTTGAATGTCATTTAAACTCATTCCATTTTTTTCTGCTGTTTTTTTTTTTCAGCCATCGAGGTTTTTATGGCTGTTTCTGAAACGTTATCCCTGAGATGATGTTTTCATTAATAATTAATAATCATTAATATGAATGAATCACACGTTGGACAGAGGTTATGTTTCAGTCGGACATTTAAATGTATCAGCAGCTCTTGATTAATAAGTACTAACGAGTTATGACTTTTCACCTCATGACGACCAGTGACTGGTTAAACAGATTTTTGTTGTTTTGATGCAGCGAGCCTTTTGTCATCTTCTCCGGCGGCCTCTCGTATGACAAGGCAGGACGCCGACCCACGTTAACCATCATGCACGGCAAAGCCATCACGGTGCTGGAGATGGACCATCCCATCGTGGAGTTCATGGTTCTCTGTGAGACTCCGTACAACAACGGTGAGGTCAAGCCGTCAAGGCTTAAAACCTTCAGGAATTACTGTCTGAGAATAAGGAAGTTGTCGGCTGTGGAGGGTGAACTGGTCCTCAAGAACTGCAGTTGATTAAAGGACGACTAATGACTGTGTGGGTGAGAGCCAGACGCACATAAACAAGAAGAGCAATCAAATAAGACTGTGGCAAAATCCCAACAAGTGCCAGAGATGTCAGGGCTGGATGAAATAACCTGATGAATTTTTACAGTCAGTCTGAAATAGTTTTTCCTTAAAGGTTCACTCTACAGGGTTTGATGTAGCTCCTCCTAGAGGTGTGTTGAGGTTTTTAATTTGAGTGAAATTGCAGTTCATGTTTCTGATCTTTTATTCTTTATCACATTGGACACTCGTTGGTGTCCTGCAGTGGCTAGCACCTAGCATCTTAGCTACAGTAATAAACACCCTATAACTTTGGGTTATTTTGCTCTTGTTTTTAATATCAAATGTACATGATGTTCTGTGGTTTGTCTTCCTCTTCCAGAGGTCCAGGATCCTTACGCTGTGGTGGTTCTTCTGGAGAAAGACTTAATTGTTGTTGATCTGACTCAGAGCAAGTACGTGTTCGACACACACTGTCCAAACGAAGCCTCGTGTTTCAGTTCAGCTACGATGATGTCAGTGAAAACATTTAGCTCATATTCACATCTGAACCAAAAAGAAAAAACTGAAGATGAATTTTCACTCAAGCTCAGATGGTTTCTTCTCCAAAATGATTAAATTGCTCCGAGGAGCCAAATCAAATCCCAGTTCTAGATGAACACACTGGCTGAGACGAACCTCAGGGTAGCAGCAGAACACCAGCGTTTAATTTGTGACTTGGTTAATTAGCTAATTAAATTAAAGAGCTGAGAAACTCAACGACAGCGTCTGCCTCTCTCCTCGCAGCTTCCCAGTCTTTGAGAACCCTTACCCCATGGACGTCCACGAGTCGCCTGTGACCTGCACAGCCTATTTTGCCGACTGCCCCCCCGACATCATCCCCATCCTCTACTCCATCGGAGCTAAACACAAGAAAACGGGCTACAGCCATAAGGTAGTGGTGAAAACTGTGGTTTTATTGTATTTTCAATTCTGTTCCAAATCACAGTCTTTTTATGTTTATTTAGGTCTGATTTCTCCCTGCTCACCAACTGTCTGTCTCATTGGGACAAATGAAAAACGTCTTATTCCTAGTTCTGACCGTATCCTCCACAGTGAGGACATTTTCTTTGTCTTCGTTTTTACTTTTTCACCAACGACACTTCAGGATTGGCTCTCGTCCAAAAGAAACAAAAGGCTTTCATTTGTTCAGACTGGTTTTCTGTCGGCCATTTTGACATCACTTTGTGTGGTTTTGGGAGCTGAGGGTCAGGGGTCATAGTGCCACCCCCATCTCTCACACAGTTACACTAATAATTTAATCATCTCGTGTGTGTGTGTGTGTGTGTGTCCGTGTCAGGAGTGGCCAATCAGTGGAGGGACATGGACGTTAGGCTCCCACACCTACCCAGAAGTCATCATCACAGGGTAGGTCACGTTGATAGTTAATAATATTAACTAGATATAAATGAAACTCTTCGCTCACAGCTTCTTGTTGTGTCTTTGTCTAAAATGTTAAAAAACGTTTCTCTGTAAACAGACACGCCGATGGATCCATTAAATTTTGGGACGCGTCTGCAAGTAAGTGATCTTTTTAAACTACATTTAAAAGTTTAAAAACGTCCGTTGATCCAGACTCAGCCGTCCAGTTTCAGAGCAGTAATTGTCATTAAAGAACATGTTATCAAGCCACTGCCGTAGTTTGTTTAATAAACTAGGATCTGTCTGAAGGCTCAGCTCAGCTTGACTTCATTTCTCTGTTGGACGTTTATTCACGTTGACGTCCTCCTGATTTCTCCACGACTGTCTCTACATCCAGTCACTCTCCAGATGTTGTATAAGATAAAGACCTCCAAGGTCTTCGACAAACCCAAGCCTGGTGACGGGCGGTCTGCAGACCTGGTAGAAGAAGACCCCTTCGCCGTCCAGATGGTCAGCTGGTGTCCTCACAGCCGCATCTTCTGTGTGGTTGGAATCTCAGCTCACATCATCCTCTACAGGTTCAGCAAACACGACGCCAACACTCAGATAGTGGTGAGTGACGTCACACCGTGACATCATTTCTTGAAGCTTCTCCGACTGTTGGCTGTGGTTAAGACATAGACATTACACAAAGTTTGAATCCAGTATTTGGCAGCTTGTACTGAACCAGGATTGAAACTTAATTTCCTGTCAATAACTTGATCCTCATCTTATCAACGTTGAAGCTGATTCGTTCAGTGGTCTGATGACAAACGTCTCTGAGAACACGTACAGTAGTAGTACAGCAGTAGTATTAGTAGTTGGTCATGACTCCATGTCCTGTGTGTTGTCCAGTCACTGGACGTCCGTCTGCAGTGTGAATCAGATGACGTCATCACTCCGTCAGAGAATGAAAACCCTCCGTTCTGTCCTGACTCTGGCTCCCACTCACCTCAGCCTCATCACCAACTTCCTGTTAGTCCCAACAGTGGAGCTCCTGACAGTAACAGGGACAGCGTACCATACCTGAAGTAAGACGTCCTCAGGTACAGCTGTACTCTTTAAGGTTTCAGTCAAGTTTGACATTAACGTCCAGTTCCTGTGACCCTGCCGTCAGGGTCAAAGACAGAGTCGTTCGTGTTCCTCCTGGTTACCAGGCGGAGCTGGTCATTCAGCTGCTCTGGGTGGACGGAGAACCTCCGCAGCAGATCACCACTCTGGACATCAACTCTGCCTACGGCCTGTAAGTCACACCACGGCCGGCTTTATCACTCACTGACGCCTGGGTCAAATGACCACTGTTCCACCACGGTGACCGGCTGCTCCTCTGAGTTCACCTGCTGTCAACCAGAGTGTAGTGACCGTGAAAACACACATTAGACAAACAGGAAATACTAACGTCAACGGTCTGACGATGGACGGACAAAGGCAAAAGAGCAGCAGTCAATATAGCTTTTATATATATGTATATATATATATATACATATATACACACATATATGTTGTAATATCAGTAAAGCTCAGCAGTACAACACTCAGTCTAGGATTAATAGACTCACTGTGATACAGGATGATTTTTCTAAAAACATCAGTGAATTTTCCATCTCAGTCAGACAGACACGTGTGTGTGTGTGTGTGTGTGTTCCAGCTTGGCGTTTGGAAACTGCAATGGCCTTGCGATCGTGGACTACTTACAGAAAACCATCCTGTTGTGTATGTCGACCCTGGAGCTGTACGGAGCCGCCGACCCCTACCAGCGCCTCACGCGCTCCCCCCGCAGGAACCGACAGTCCACCTCAGGTAGCACGCCCACATGCACGCGCTCCTGTGGAATCTTGCCACTCACATGCATGTGCATATCTAACACTAGATACAGACATTACAGACACTGCAGTATCTCAGTGTCTAGAATCTAGATTCTACTGTTCTGTCCTGTCCTCTTATCTTCACCACAGACTCTTCTTCTTCTTCTTCTTCTTCTTCTTCTTCTTCTTCTTCTTCTTCTTCTCCTCTCTCTTTCCTCTGTGTCTTCTTCATCTAAGGCTTGACTGATCAGACCGGTCTGAGCTGCTCTGTGTCAAATCCATCCATCCCTTTATATTATTCATCAACACCACTGCTCCTCACTCAGTCAGAGCCACTGGGCACATCAACACGAGTACAGCACAAGTACTGTACCATGTGACACCATGTGACACCATGCTGAGCTATAATTAGTGATGGGACATGACCGTAAATTAATCTAATTAAAATACAGGCTTTGTGATGAATTCATCTTGAGGAAGGGCTTTTTCATAGAATGGAAAAATGTGAAATGATCCTGGTTGATGGATCAAATACATTTTCTTTAACAACAAAAGATTTTCTTTATCCTTCCATCTTTAGTTCTGGTATCGGTACCAGGACTGTTTTAGCTAACTTTAGCCCTGTTGTGTCTCTGTGGACTGTTGTAGCTAATGTTAGCACAGGCGTCTGTTAGGACTGTTAGCTGTCAACAGTCGCTGTGGTGAAGATTTTACACAGAATTGTCCGACATGTTGTCAAGTGTGAAGCTCACAGTAAAATGTCAAAGTGTTTTTTCCATTCTGTGGAACTGGGTCAGTGTTTTAGAATCGAGTCATGGTTGGAATTCTGTTACTCTGTGTTATTTCCTCGGGGGAAATTTGTAAAGCAGATGTTTTATTTTTAACAGAATCTAGTTTTTCCTTTTAAATACAGTGTGAAATCATGAATAAATCCAAGAGTAAATGTAGAATCAAAGAATCCGCTCCAGTTTTTACAGGCCTGGATCAGTTCAGCTCCTCTTCTTCACTCTCTCCTCTTTTTTCTGTCAAAATAACGACTGACATGAAAACAGTTTAACCTGCACATTAGTTCACACAGTTGACAACATGCATGTTCTCAGGCTGGACCAGATGTGCACCTTTATGCATGTTGTTGTTGGTTCAACCTTTACTTTCTGTTTTTACTCCTGCTCGAAAACTGGCCAAAAAAAAAAACTCACCAAAAGCCACAGAGGTCTGTTCTCCACCTACTGAGCCCTGAGGTTTTTCCTCATTTTTTCTGTAGTAAAAAAGTACTATGGTAAATAAACCACATAATAATAATACAAACATGTCAGGATCAGAAAGACATGCATTATTAAAGTGTTGAATGATTGTATTCTGGGTAAAAGTTTGAAGCTTTAGACGAAGACAACTTCAACACTTGGACATTTATGTCCCCGTTGACCAACAGCGTTTGTTCTGAACAACTTCAGCTTTTTCCAAGTCTTTCTTTAAAAATCAATTTCAAGATTAGAAAGACCATTTTTGCTCACTTTGCTCCCCCCAGGTGGTGGCGTTACCATTTCAGACACCTACGTCGTCCAAATCAATATGTTCTGTTGAGGAAGTTAAAAAAAAGTGAAAAGAAAAACCTTTGAAAAACTCAGCAGTTTCTAATCGATGTTTCAGCTCCAGTCTGTCTGTCTGTCTGACTGTCTGTCTGACTGACTGTCTGTCTGACTGACTGACTGTCTGACTGACTGACTGACTGACTGTCTGTCTGACTTACTGTCTGACTGTCTGTCTGTCTGACTGTCTTTCTGTCTGTCTGACTGTCTGTCTGTCCGTCTGGCTGACTGACTGTCTGACTGACTGACTGCCTGACTGTCTGTCTGTCTGACTGTCTTTCTGTCTGTCTGACTGTCTGTCTGTCCGTCTGTCTGACTGACTGACTGTCTGTCTGACTGCCTGTCTGTCTGACTGTCTGTCTGTCTGTCTGACTGTCTGACTGACTGTCTGTCTGCCTGTCTGACTGTCTGTCTGTCTGCCTGTCTGTCTGACTGACTGACTGACTGTCTGTCTGACTGCCTGTCTGTCTGACTGACTGTCTGACTGACTAACTGACTGTCTGTCTGTCTGTCTGTCTCACCCTCAGTCAGGGTGACCTGGTCCTGTTGAAGAGCTGGTTTAAATTTTACTCTCATTTATTCCCTTTAATGAAACGATGCTCAACTGTTGATCAGTGATTTGAATGAACTTGGTCAAACATTACTCTTAAAAAAGATTCTAACCCAGTGAATTGACAGTTAATTTCCTCGTTGCGCCGTGGCCTCTGTCCAAATGACCAAACACTTTGTTTAACGGAGCAGCAGAAACGTCTGTCCTCCCCTGACGTTAACTCAGTTATTTTTTATTCTCTAAGCCTCTGTGTTCTTCTCTTTTCCCGTCTCCCCCTGTTCTCCCCCCCCTTCACCACTAACTCTTTTTTCTTGCTCCCATCGTTTTTCTTAATCAATTGCTTATTCCTTTTCTCTTTTCCTTTTTTTTTCCTTTTGTTTTTTTGTACCCCCCCCCTCCCCCCTCCTTCCTCACCCA